CTATTTAGAAATAAATGGGGTAGCCATTCTTCACAATTCTTTGCCTGCTTTTGTTATCATTTCAATCTGAACTAGGCATTTACAAGCTGCCGTCAGATAAAATTAAGCTGCAAATAACTGACATGACTATTTTTCCACCACCATTTTTACACTTTGAAGTAATTGAAAAGAAGGTTTTTGATACAAAGAGTCCTATGTTTAAAATATAGTTTTTCCCTCGGTGTTTTTTAAATTGTATTTCAAGAGCAACTCAGCATACCAGAGCTTTCAGTGCACAAAATTTGCACTGGAATGACCTGGAGACACACAGAGACACCCCTGGGAAGAGTCCCAGGACACCCGTTGGCACAGAAGCGTTCATGGAAGATTAGGAGAATCGTCACAAAGCTACTGGAGGCAAATGACTGCTAAAGCAGCGTTCGATGTTTCATTCCAGCAGCAGCACTAACAAAGCAGCTGGAAATACCAGGGACTGACCTCAAGTTGCTCCCAGAGAATAACCCCCTCTCCCCCAAGGGGAAGCCCTGCAGTGAGGACTTCGCGAGGGGGAAAAATGGTTTCAGACATTTTTTTTTCCCCTTATCGTACTTTCCAGGAATTATGTAACAATTCTTCTCTCGATAAACAAATTTGTCCCTGGGACAGGTTGGGTTTTCAGGAGGAATCCAGGACTGAAACCACGGCCTGGAAGCGGCAGCGTCTGTCCCTGGCGAGCAGACAGACGTGCGGGGAGGGCCCTGAGCTGCCCTCCGGGTGGGCAGCTCCACTGAGACTCAGAGTGGGGTTTGGATTCATTCTTTGTCATGAAGCGACGGCAGCTACAAGCTCCTGTCTGTGTCAGGGGCCGTTCTGATGTGAGTATGAGAAATGCAGTCCAAGTGGCCTGAGGGGCCAGGGAAATCACCGTGAGACTGAAGGGACAGCAGAGGACAGCTAAGCTGGGCTGGCTGAGAGGCAGAAGCCAGGGGGCCTTGCAGGAGGACGAGACCCACAGGCAGTCTCTCAGGATGCGCCTGCCAGAATGAGGCAGCTGACATGAGGTGATCAAGGACAAGGAGGGCTGAATCTGTCCCGCTACTCAGTTGCAAAGGGCCTCTGGGCCGGCACAGGCTTCCTATCCTCTGCAAGTCTAACAGGGGCTTTTGTGGTGATGCACAAGAGGCCTCTGGCCAGTGGCCTGAGGACAGGGCTTATCTGCAGTGGGGGGACCTGGGGTGCATATGCTTGGTCAGATGACAAGGGACACAGGTCAGAATGGGGAGATGGTATTGGTTCAGTTTGCCCTCAGCTGAGACCCATGGACTAATGCCTTCTGACACCCAAGACGGCACTGCTTTATGGCCCGAGAATAGAGCATCAGCTCTTCCCACTTCATGCACTGCCCAACGGAGGCCAGCCACAAGTCGTGAATGGCAGAGGATGTACAGGTTGCAACTGCAAGGGAGGAGCAGGGAAACAGTGACCTGGACACTAGAGGTGGGGAGTTAGGAGAGGACAGAGCCAAAAGCTTAGGGCTTAAAGCCAGACCATCTGGGCCGAGTTCTGGCTCTGCTACTTTCCAGTTTCGTGACCCCAGGCAACCTCTCAGCACCTGCTTATTCACTACAATAATGCATTAAAATGCCTAGCAAAGTGCCAGGCGCACAGAAAGCTCATGGTACATGGCAGCTCACGTAATCATTTTTATGGGCGAGAAGAGGCCATCCTTCACAATCTTAGAGCACCTGCTAAGGGAACCAGCGAACTGTGTTCGGTTACCCTCACCCTAATACCATCAACCTCATCCTTCAATTGATTAGGCTCTGACAAAGTGGGAATGGGCTTGGAAGTTATGCATATCAACATGCCCTCCATCTGTGGATCTGAGGAGGGGATGTGCCCGTCACCAAGTAGAAAAACATTGCAGTTTATAGCCAGCCATACAATGAGATGATAAAAGAATAAGAAAACATGCAAAAAGAATGCATAGGATGGAATTCAATCCAATAACATAGCTTAAGACTAAGCAAATGTGAGAGTTTTGCTCACCTACTAAAAGAAAAGGTCTCTCACACTGAGTCCAACTAAATTCTGTTTTCAAGGATCACTCATAATATAAATCAATTTAAAATATTAAAATCTAAAACATAATCAAAGATTTGTAAAATGAATGTAAAAGAAAAACAAAACATTTCACAGACTTAAATATTTCAAAGGAGTAAACGAAAATAAGAAATGTAATCAAGATCATTTTGTAGGGGACACTGTGAAATGAATTGACAATTTTATCAACTTCTATATACTAAATAATACAGGGTAAGGAGATTCCAACATATATTCCTGTCCTTAGACAAAGTTGTCAAAAATTAATATTTGAATATTATAATAATTATATGAGTAATTTGAGAAGTTACACCTTCTGTTTCCAGCACCCAGGAAACATTAGCAGACACTGATCTTATATTAACCCACGAGACAAATCTCAAACATTTTTAAAAACCTGAACAGCACATGTTACATATTCTAAGCCAATGTAAAAAGTTAGAGAAAACACTATGTTTTTAAAAACCAAAGCTGTTCATAGCAGTGTTGTGCATAATAGCCAAAATGTGGAACCTCCCATATGTCCATCAATTAATGAATGGATAAATAAAATGTGGTGTATCTGTACAATGGAATATTATTTGGCCATAAAAAGGAATGAAATACTGATCATGTTCCAAAGCACGTAAACATTTAAAACATGATGATGCTAAAGGAATAAAGCCAGTCATGAAAGACCACATACTGTAGATTTGATTTATATGAAATGTCCCAAATAAGCAAATCTGTGGAGACAGAAAGTAGACTGCAGGTTGCCAAGGGCTGAGGACAGTGAGTGAAGAGCGGGGTGATTTAAAAGAAGGGAGTGACGGCAAATGGACACGGTGCTTCTCTCTGAGGAGAGAAAAAAATGCCCTAAATTGTGTTGATGGTTGTACAACTCTGTGAAAATACTAAACATCATTGAATAGTACACTCTACATGGACAATATATGAATTATATCTCAGTAAGGCCACGTTAAAAAAACTACACCCTTGAAAATTAAAAAAAAGAACCCACTATTCTAAATAATACTAGGATAAAAGAAAACGTGAAACCATAATTACAGAACAATTAAAGAACATCAGTGAGAACACTATTCATTAAAACATGTAGGATATAGCAAAAGCAGCAATTAGTAGAAAATGTATACCCACTGTTTTCCAAACTAAAGTGGAAAAATAATATATATAAAAATGAACCAATAATTCAACTGAGTAATTAATAGAAAAAACAAAACAATTTAAGGGAAGCAGGAGAAACAAATTATAATACAAAAGTGGAAATTTCATCAAATTTAGGATGTCACCTATTATAGGACGCACTATTATCTTATGTATCATTAAGAAAATCTGCTGCCAATTAAGCAATGTCACAATGCTTTACCATCAACTGAAAGAGGCATCCCGACTTCAGAGGCGTTAAAACGTGGAGAGAAAACGCACAGGCTAGGCTAGCGGGATGCAGTGAATTAGAAAGCAGGAAGGCAATGTGGCTGATGAACAAATATAAGGTCTAATTCTCTAGAAAGACCAACTGACATACATCTAGCAAAGCAAATTAAAGAAAAAAGAAAAATGCAAACTATTAGGAATACAAAGCAAATTTACCCATATATAGTTTAAAATTCATGAGAATATCATATAAAACCCCCTATGGACAAAAAAAACTAAATGAGGAAAAAACTCTATGCTAATCATTTTTAAAACTTGGATCAAATGGACAATTTTCTACTAAAAATAAATTTTCTAAATTGGTTTAAAGAGGATTAGAATATCTAAATAAACAATGCTCATGAAAGAAATTTGGAAGTTGTCAAAAATGTATCTCAACAAATTGCACTACCTCCCTGAAAATATCAGAGGTCATTTCTATAAGACCTTAATTTCCCTTGCTATGAATACTATTTTAGACCATAAAAAGATGGAAATATTTTTTCATAAAATTAGCATAACCCTGAAACCCAAACTATAAGAAGCATTTTTCACTTAGCAAATTGGCGAAGATTTAAAAAAGAGAAAGGAAAAGAAAATTTTAAAAAGCACATGAAAATCCAAAGTATTTGCGCAAGTGGGAAAAATAGGTAATTTCATCCCCTTCCAATAAAAGTATTAAGCTGTTACCACCTCTATGGAGAGTATTTTAAAAATGTACATGAAAAGGCGTAACATTTTGACCCAATAATAGCAATTCTAGAAATTTATTGTACCATAATAATCATAACTATGTGCAGGAAGTTTTTGCAACAAAGATGTTCACTGCAAAATTTTAATAGCAGAAATACAGAAACAACTTAAATGTCAACATTAGAGAGCAGATTCAAGTTTGATGGGATTAAGTCATAGTATAGAAATGTAGGTAATAACACTAAATGTTCACAATAGAATAAGTATATATATTTTAAATGTACCCAAATGAATGAAAGATATGAAGCAAAAAAGGATTATCTCTAGGTGGGATAACAAATTATATTAACTTTATTCCCTTCTTAATTCTTTACAATAAGAGTGTATTACTTTCTAATCAGAAGAATCAATAATCGTTATTATAACTTTGTTGGTAAAAATCTTCTAAAATATGTTGATAATGCCCAGAGAACCAGAGCAGAGGAGTCTGGGCCTGAGTTCCCTCAGTCTGGGAGGCTGTGGACGAACAAGTCAGAGTCTCGTGACCCTTCTGGGCTGCAGGTTGGGCGGCTTGGGATTCACAGGTCCCTTGTGTGAGCAGCAGACTATCCCCTGTTTCAAGGCCCCCACCAAGGTTCCCGTCCTTGGGAAATATCAACAGCTTGTTTCAATCCAAGCAGCCAACCAATTAATTACCCTTTTTCCTTGGCCCATGCTGCTTCCTGGGAATTTCTCAGCTAGAAACTATAAAAACATCTTATTTGGCACTGAACACGTTCCTTAAAACATAATAAGTCAATTCAGACGCCTACCTAGATAGGGAATACTGGGCACCATCTTCAGGCTTCGGATATAGTCCCGAGTCCGCTTGTAGTTATCTTCTTTAGACATCAGATAATCCAGTTTCTCAAAGGTGGTCTTGTCTTTTCGATTCAAAAGCTGAGGTGAGAAGAACAGGCAGAGTATGAGGAACAAGACCAATAAGTCAAGAAGCTAAAGAGATGGGGTAACTGTGGGTGAATATTAAAGGGAAATGTCCAAAAGGCGTGTCTGTGGCATGCAAAGTCCTGAGCCCAACCAAAGGGTTGAAGAAGCAGTTTCAGCAGAGACGGAAAGTTGCACGGCCTCGGTGGGTCATTTTCCATAGAATCTCACCCTTGGAAGACATCCTCTGAGGCTACCCAGTCCCCTGCTCTAAATGAGGCCAGAATCCCCTGCACAGCACCTGCCTCCAGGATGTACAGACCCGTCAACAGCACGGAGCTCAGAGAGTAAAGCAGCTTGTACCATGTCCCAGAGTAATTCACAGCCACATCAGCCTCTTCACCTGAGTCCACAGCTATGCATTTGCTCCCCAACATCTCTGACACTCCTGAAGGCTGCAGGGAATTTCACACAATTCACCTGTGTGTGCTGTGCACCTGGCCAGGCCGTCTCTCCAGTCTCGGCTACCGCTCTGGATTCTTGGTTACGATATTTTAAACAAAAGAATCTGAGCTTTTTATCCAAATGCAGTCATCTAAGTGATGACTTAGTAGAGAAAATACAGGTGGAGCAGGTATTCACAGCCCAGAGGTCAGAGAGGCAAGATCCCTGATGACTGAGATTTCTGGTATGGAAAGGAGGGTTCCATGTGCAAAGGAGGGTTTTGGGAAGGAAGGCATAGAAACCTGAATGCTGCGGTCATCTTGCATGTCCCAGGCCAAGGCCCAGCGCCAGGAAATGGGAGTAAGCCTCCTTGAATAAAATGGCTTTGAGGAGAGGGGTCTACACTGGGAGAACAGGCTTAGCCTGGGGAAGAGCACCTGGAGGGGGGTCGCTCGGAGAGGACTGGCTTTGGCACAGCACGTGGCCCTCTGGGTGAGCTTCCAGGGCCCAGTGCCTCTGGGGGTTTAGATCAGTGGCCAAGCCTAGGAGTGGAAATGGAGCAGGACCTCAGTCCTGGAGCATCTTTGGTAAAGCCTGGTGCTCAGACCACAGTGGCCTGTGCAAGGGCCTGGGCCAGCAGAGCCACCACATTCGTCAGACTGAGATCGGCCAGTGTTCCACAGCCCCATCAAACAGCAGAGAGAAGTGGAAGAGCCAGGGGAGGCAGGCTTTTGTGCTGAAGTGACCCCTTTGGGTGACTTTAGTACAAATGCAGTGCAGTTCCCGAGACCTGGCTCTGCAAACCCCAGACAAGGGCCACATCTGCACCAGGGAGCCTGGGCTGCCCTGGGCTGCCCTGGGCAGGCCCTGCCCTGTTCCTTGATTCTCAGCCTCTGGAGCCACAGAGGATTCAGCTGTGTGACGGCCCAGCTGAGCTGTGACAGTTTAAGGGCTCTGAGGAGGAAAGGGAAAATAAGCTAAAAGGAAGGTCCCAGTGCTGAAGGAGTTGGAAAGTAAATAGCAAGCTTTTTTTTCCTATTGAGAAATTCAGGACATACCAGGGTGGGGATGCTACACAGATGCTAGGGACAACGGCTGCCTAACTGGCTTGCTAATTTGAGGCTGTTATTCATCACATTAACTAATAGACAGGAAATAACACCACCCCCATTTGCTGTTTGTAAAGCACCATAACATAACAACTCATCTGATCTTTACAGAGCCCAGTGACAAAAACGGAGCCAAGACTATTGCCTCTATTTCAGGTTCATGATCACTTGTCTGAGTATCCTTGGGGAACTCAATTCCCAGAGGACAGAGATGTCTATTACAACAACATGGTTAAGAAAATAAGAGACCAAGAACCCAGACAAATAAGTCAATTATGGGCGAGGGAAGTGTCAGGAAAGCCAAATAGAGACAGGCATTTGAAATGAACATTTAAGGATGAGAAATTCACTAAATGAACAATATATACCCAGACCAGAACGAGATACTCTAGTTATGAACTGCCTCACTGTAAAACTGAGCAGGCCCCTCACACCCCTGTCTGGGAGGCCACCTCTTTATTAACACAACACAGAACCCCACTGAGTTCTTTGGCAATCACACGTGTTCATCCAGCAGCCACACAAACCCCTGTGTTACCCTCATGCTCACTGCAACTGACCTGTGCTGGTGCCCAACGCTCACACCACGGGGTCTCTGGACCCCGCTGGGAAATTGCCCATGCCCCCTTCCACGTCAGGCCCATCCGCCTAGCTTGTCAAGCGCCTCTAAGCATGGCACCATGTTGTCGGCATCCTGACATAGGTATGACCGGGCCAATATGAGGTTAGAGCCCTGGGGGATGTGCCTGAAAATCGCTCCGCAGATTTGACCTCAAAATCAACAACTGGGGTTCTTCGGCAGCGTGGGCAACCAAAGGCGGTCACACCCACACGCCTCCTAAATTGAAAACCAAGGCCTTCCAGCTCACACCTCCTTCTGTGAGCCTTGCCTCTAAACAGACACTCCCTATCAATCCCCCACCCTACACACACTCACATACACGTTCCGCAGGGCTAGATCTGGTCCACTCCACTCACCTGCTCCATTCTGTGCCCACAGATGAAATTCAGGGTCGTGTCAGGTTTTTCAATAATAATACATAGGATGATAGACAACATAAGAACTCAGAACTCCCAATTCTGTATTTGAAAACTACTTAAGAACTTCCTCTAGCAAAATAAAGGAATAAAGCAAATATAGGGAGATACAGGATACAGGAAACAGAGGACTCAATGCAGAAGAGCAAGGGGAGTTTCTGGGATGACAGATGAACAGCAGGCCTGGAGGATGACTGGTTCACATCCCAGAGGAGATGTGTCCAGAGGAAGAGACGGCACCACAGAAAACCTAAAAGGACCACATATTTGTTGGGAAGAGATATCTTTATCATATATATAATTTAAAAATAAAATAATTTAAGTGCTTATATATAATATAGAAATCTAGTATAAATGTTTTATACAATATAAAATATATAATATTTAAAACATGTTAAACTATGAAATAGTATAAAATAATATAGTGTATAAAATGTAAAATATTTTTTATACATATATATGCACATACACTTGACCCTTGGACAATGCAGGCTTGAACATTACAGGTCAACAACTGCGTGGGTCAATTTTTAAAAATCTGTGTATAAGTCAGCCTGCACAATTCAAACCCGCACTGTTCCAGAGTTAGCTGTGTTTGGGGGGTGCCTGTGCGTGTAATGCCTAGTAGATAGATGGTAGCTGGAGTAAGAACTTTTTTTGTTTTATCATCATTCTCCTTATTTTCTTTTTTTCCCCATTCTCCCCTTCCCCCTCCCAGTGATAACCTTCCAAATGACCTCCATACCTAAGATTCTGTTCCTGTTCTGGTTGTTTGCTTAGTTTGTTTTTGTTTTTTAGATTCAGTTGTTGATAGTTGTGAGTTTGTTGTCATTTGTTGCTCATAGTTTTGATCTTCTCCTTCTTCTCCTCCTTCTTCTTCTTCTTCTTCTTCAATAAGTCCCTTTAACATTTCATGTAATAATGGCTTGGTGATGATGAATTACGTTAGCTTTACCTTTCCTAGGAGAGAGTCCCCAACAAGTTGGACCCAAAGAGGACCACAGCAAGACACATCATAATTAAAATGCCAAATGTTAAAGATAGAGAATCTTAAAAGCAGCAAGAGAAAAGCAGACTACAAAGGAGTTCCCATAAGACTGTCGGCTGATTTCTCAAAAGAAACTTTGTAGGCAAGAAAAGAGTGGCAAGAAGTATTCAAAGTAAGGAAAAGCAAGGACCTACAACCAAGACTACTCTATCCAGCAAAGCTATCATTTAGATTGGAAGGGCACATAAAGAATTTTTTAAGGGAATTAGAAATTCCAGGGAAACAAAAAGGTATTCAATAAAGGACATGTCATTAATAGTTTACTACTTGACTACAAAAAACCATATTTACACATTCCTAATAGTTAAAACACTGAATAATCATTTAACCAGTGATTTAACCACAGTAACATGAGTGTGTTTGAAGAATGAAGGACGCTGAAGAAAACTAAACCAACATCTATCATATAAAGAAGTCACCAAATCCTGTCTAAAGAAATTTTAGCTAAAGCACATTGGTGGGAATGTGGCAGAAACTACCAGCAGAACCAGCTCATTAACTGTTAAGTGGTGGCCTCTGGGGAATGAATGGGGCATCGAGAGATGAGAGTTGTTTCTCTCAGCCTTTCAGCACTTAGTGATTCTTAAAATTAATGTGCATGTATTACGCTGAAAAATTCTTTCAAGATTTAATTTTTTTAAATATAAAGTGTGTTTATTCAAAAAAAGTAACAGCATTTACTTATACATGTTTTAAAGTTTTGTTACAAGTGGCACCATAAACTAGAAACCTCATATGAAGTGAGGGTCGTTTAGATTTTAGAGTTTCCAGGAAGTTTCAGGAAGAAACCATTAGAAATATTGTATATACAAGAAAATAAATGTCTTGCCTACCTGAGTCAAACAGGTACTGAAAACATTCACGTGCAGGACAAGGGGTAAGGAAAATCAGACTGAGGAAACGTTCTCAGCTGCAACAAGCAACTCCGCTGGTCACGAGGGTTAGCAGTCTTGGGGACTGTGCGACGCTCTGCTGTACTGTCCCTCACGATGGTGATTTACCGTGGGGTCGCACCTGCCCCTCGCTCGGCTACCGACCCCCCAGGAGGGCAGTGGCCAGGCTGGCTGTGCTCACCCCACTGTCCCCTGCGTCTGCTATGGCTCCTGACACAGAGGAAACACTGCTGAATATTTGTTGCATAAGAGAATGACAAAACTAACAATGCTAGCTTAAAAATCCAACTCCATGGACAATTTTGAATGCTCAGAATAATTCTTGGATAAAGGGAGGGAAAGCTACAATTATGAACTATTTACAAACCACAAATGATAGAAACACTGTATGTTAAACTATATGATGAGGCCAAAACTGTACATGGTTTTAAACTCTTTTTTAATTAAACGACTAAGAATATAAATTACCTAAACACTCAATTC